AGTCGGGGGGCGGGGACGGGCTCGGGACCTGCGGTCTGCCGGGGTCTCTGGATGGAAACCTGGTCGGGCGAGCGCAGGGTCTCCCGAGAGTAGCCGAGGTGAAGGTGTGAATGAGAACCAGCCAGGCCGGGTCAGCGGAGTCCCAGCGGACGGAGAGCACACGGAACCCCGAGATTCTTGGGGAGGAAGGCGGGTGCAGGGATGCGGGTAACATGGTGTTAACTACTAGCGAATGGGTGTGAAGGGTACATGGACTTCTTACTAATCGTGCAACTTTTCTGAAATTGGACATAATTTCAAAATAAAGGTAAAAACAAATAGTTGGAGCCCTTGCCAGTGGCTCAGTGGTTAGAGCGTCGCTCTCCTCCCCACACCCCCCCCACCGAAGGGTCTCGGGGTCGATTCCCCGTCAAAGGCATACCTGGGTTGCAGGCTCGATCCCCGGTGGGGCAGGTGCCGGAGGCAACCGATCAACATCCTTATTTCTCTCTCCCTCTCCCCCTCCCTCCTTCTCTCTCAAAAAATAATGGAAAAAACATCCTGGAGTGAGGATTAACAAAAAGTAAAAATAAAAAACGTTGGAGAGCACAGCTCTAACTGGCTCTGCGCTGCTATCCTACCAGGAAAAGCAGATGGATGCTTGGCACTCAGAAGTGCTTATCTGCCTAGCTTCTCAGACTGATTTTCCTCCAAATCTTTACATTCTAGGTTTTTCTTTTTCTTTTTTTTTATTGGTTTTAGAGAAAGAGGGTGAGGGAGAGAGAAACATCTATTAGCCGCCCCCTGCACGGCCCTCGAGCCTGTAACTTGGGTATGTGATCTAACAGGGAACCGAACCTGTGACCTTTGCAAGCATGGAAGGGCGCTCAACAGAGCCACATTTGGCCAGGGCTAGCCTTTTCTTCTATCCCTTCCCCTTGTTATTCTTTATTCGCGTTATTTATTCCCCCCAAATTACCCTCGTCTTCATCCCTCATTTCCACCTGAAAAAACTGTACCCATCCTTCAAAGACCAGCTCAGATACTCTCATTTATGAACATTTCCCGGCAGTTGTGATACATCATCTTTTCCCAAGCCTCCATGTATTTGCATTAGTTATTCAAACTGTCTCTAGATAAATGGGTGTCTGTCATTCCATGTTCTCTATCCCTGTCTGCCATACCTAGTGAATACTTGGTAAATTGACTTTTAGGTAATAAAAGATAAATATTAGATTGTATTAAATCATTGAGTTCAGTAGTTTTGGTGATAAAATAGGATTTGACTTTGAATCTAAGGGAAGAGACTTGGCTTTTTGAAACCTGCTTAACAGAAGTCACTGGGCATATATGTGAACTTTCATAGATCACCTCAGGTAAGTTCATGAAAAAAAATAAAAATGAGGCTGCCTGGCCCTGGTCTTGAGTCCCTTATTTTGGTTTCCCATGACTGTGAAGGCATTTCACAAAGATGAGCAAAATCCCAAATGTCTGTATTTGCAATTCAAGCACCCCCTCTGTCCTATGCAGTCCAATGAAGAAATTCTATTCTTTCTGCCTTCAGAATGTCTCCCAATCTCATCCCTCCCCCACTCTACCCAACATTATCACAAGAATCACTTCCTATCAGAGAACTGCAACCTCATCACATCTGGCCTTCCTGATTCTTCCTCCATACATTACATTTCCAGTGAATCTCCCTTGAATATTAAGGTTTGCATCTCTGTGTCACCATCACACCAGTCAGTTTATACATGGCTCCCTTTAACCTCTTACACACTTGCTTTCCCTGAACATAAATTTAATACATAATTTTGTAACTTACATGTTACTTCCACAACTAAACCATGAAACTATTCCTCTGGGGGATTACATTTTATACATACAAAACCCATTGTGTTAGCCAAAAATCCCAAAATAGTAGATTAAAATAAGCTGTTCAGAACTGGTTTTTAACCATTGAGAAATCACTTAACTCCTAGGAGCTTTTTTCATAGAAAAATACAAATGAAAATGTAAAAAAAAGTTAGGGGTTGCATAGAATCAGCTCCATCTAAGAAATTTAAAAAGACCTCACCCTTAAATTAGTATTTCAATAGGAAAAAAAGGTTTTGGAGAACACTAAAAAATATATACCATCTTTATTTTATCGTAGATTGTAAACTAGGTTGATAAAATATAGTTTGGGTGACCAGGAGAAAACTTGTCAAATTCTAATAATACCATGAAATTCTCAAAACTCTCCAGAAAAGCTGGCAAGGGGGGAAAGGCAGGAAGAGGGCAGAGAAGCCCAAGGATATAAACCTCAACTCAAAAACAGTTTGGAATCACTCTCCTATAGAGCACAATTTCTGTAACACACAAAGTGGGGATAGTAGTAGTTCCTTGAAAAGTAGGGTTACATGATTAGGTAAGATTCAAGACAGTAGCATGAAAAAGGTTGGCCGGGGAGCTCATTACAGGCCTTCACAGTTTTTAATATGCTAACACTGAATCTCTAAGACGGGAATTTGCTATACATAGCATTTCCAAAATACATTTGACAGAACATTTCTGGGGTCATTTCCGGAACATTTCTGGGGTCCAGTATTTTGGGACAATATTCTGGGAAGCACTATTCAACAGTTTTTCAAACTCATCCCTTAAAAGTTAAACTAGTTTCTGTGAAAATAAAGGGTCATTCCAAAGGTGCTTTAAAAACACACATTTGAGCTTTCTAGGCCTTGAAATAGTACATTTTCTTTTGTTTTAAAGAAAGCATCTTCTCTTGGTGGAAACTAATTCTTGATCTTAAAAGGTTTGAAGCAGTGATTCTCAACTGCAAGGCATATTAAAAATCACTGGAGACCTTTATAAAAAAGATCAATATCCAGGTACCATCCCAGACTAATTAAAAAGGACTCTTTGAGGGTGAGACATGACTACTGCCTACTGCTTTAACAATGCCCAGTGATTCCAATGTATGAGCAGAGTGCACTAAAAGTATGAAACCAACAAGGGTCCATGTAAATTAAGACAATCTAAAAAAATAAAAATAAAAATAAGTTGTACCCTGGCCTGTGTGGCTCAGTTTGTTGGTGCGTTTTCCCATGTACCAGAAGGTTGTGGGTTCAATTCCATCAGGGCACATACCTAGGTTGTGGGTTTGATCCTGTCGGGATGGGTATGAGAGGCAACCAATTCATGTATCTCTCTCTTCCCCTTCCTCCCTCCCTCTCTAGAATAAATTTAAAAATAAATTAAAAAAAAAAAAGGGCAGCTGGTAATGGTTTCAAGTATGTTAAAGAAAAAAATAGTTTTGATTTTCTTTAGAGAAACCTCAAGTCTTAGGTATTCATCATGCTCAGACTCAAGCAAAATAATGTATACAAAGATAAAAAGAATGCCTAATAAATCCTGTATCTGGTTAATGAACTTTTAATTTTTGTGGGTAGAACATTCCCCATTTTGTATGTCAATTAACCGCTCCTGACAATACAGGCTGGAGATAGATGTTCCAGTCAGTCATCACATACAGAAATGAACTAAAATTACTTAATCTTTTAGAAACAAAATCAATGATTCACAAACTATGGCATTTTATTTCAGAGCCTTTGCTTACATTTGTACAATATATTACATAATTCTTCATTGTTTGCAGATCCTAATATATACTTTATAGCTTTTATTCTATAAGCTTTTTCTTCAACGTTTTGCTGTCAACAAATCTTTACAGTCCTGTACAAATTTGAGTAACTTGAAACCATTTTCAACAAAATTAGTTACTGTAAGCACACACTACAAGACTGAAAATGCTTTTCTTAGAAAAGTTGAATGTAAAGGATTCTGACACGTTAGCATCTACAACAAAACACTTTGAAATTCTCACATGTCGTATTGCCAGAAAACAAATAAAACATGCCAGCTCCATTAAAAAAAAAAAGTACACAGAACTACAATTAAAACAGTAAAACAGTCTGTACAGTAAAGTACTGTGTATTAACAGTGCCAGGTATTAAATAGCTTGAATGAACACATCCGCAATATACAAATGTCTTACAAAGGTGTAGAATTAAATACAAGTGCCAAACAGAACAGAGATCGGAATCATACAACATAAAGTCAATACAAGTGAAAACAATTCTGCGTTCATTTTGGATTTTATACAAGGCATTGAATTTCATAGGCCTACTACCCGATTAGCTATTTATACTTCAACCTTGAACCATACTAACACAGTTTACTTGTTCCTGAAGTCCTCTTGTTGTAGCTCATAATAAAATAAGCAATACAAATGAATTATCTGCATTTAAGGAAAAGAAACATTTACAAGAAAACACAAAAATATAACTGTTATAATTCATTATGAATAAATATAC